GGATAAAACAGGAAAATATTGTGACACAGTTTGGTGGAAGATTGGAGGTGACATGTGTTGTGCTGGAGAAATCTGAATCTGCTATTTCAAAGCATTCAAATTAGTGTTAATGTAGTGAAGATGTCGAAAATTATACCAATGCAATTTGTCATGCTTGAAAGTGTGATCATGAACCCTGAGAGCTTTCAAATCCAATGTTTAGCAGTTCATCCATCCACCCACTCATATACCCGGTAATTGTTACAAATTGACAAAGGAGGCGCGGCTAACAATCTCATAGTGTGGAAGCATTGGAGATATATGTTATGAGCGCTGCACATTAGTAAAATGTTGTGAACACTTTTATTTGCCTCCTCTAACGGAGAAAACCGAGAAAAGGAATTTCCTAAAGCTGCATACAGTGTCATATTGTGTTGTGGCATAAAGTGAAAATATAAATACCTTCTCTATTTAATTCATCAGAATATGTTGTCATGTTGTTGCATATCTTGAACACTCAGGGATTACATGGTGTTCATTTTCTTATATATTGGACATTTTCACCGTCTTACATTTTGAACACAAAAGCAATTATTACTAACTCTGCATTTTATTAGTGATCTCTTAACTTTAGCTATACCAATACAGTTATGCAGATACATTTAGCGGCAGATACATTTCACAATCTCATAATGATTTGATAGTTGCTTTTTCTCTGATTAAAATAGTGAGAGATGATTGTTTATCACCTAATTCATGTGACATTTATACAATACCAAATCGTAGTACACTCTTCAAAAAAAGAATCGCATGGGGAATTTTGAGAATATGCTGCTGCGGCAAAACCAATACAAATATACTATTTCTTTCAAAAACGTCATCTTAGTGTGACTGTAAACAGCTTCAGCGACAAAACGCCTCAATTTTAACTTTTCCCCTTGTTTTAGAAGCGTTTGAAGAAATATTCGCCAAAACGTCACAAAGAAAACATGCAAAGCTAAATACACGTGCAAGTAAGCGGGAAAGCATGGGGTATCGATCACTATAAAAAGACAAACATTGTGTTTAATTGTTTCATTCGTTTTTGCCTGGAAAAGAGGAAATCATCATGCCACGACTGAGTGCCGCCAATAGAAACATCGACATAGGCCGCCTTGAAGTTGAGGAGTCGCAGTCTGCAGTTGCCAGATATTTCAACGTCCATCAGAGCACCATATCGCCAGTGGGATCGTTTCCTGCAGACCAAGATCGCACGAGAAGCGGCCGTTTAAGAGTTACCACCCAAGCCCAGAACAGCTGCATCCGGGTTGCTCACTTGTGTCATCGTCTTTCCACAGCCGTGGATACTGCACAACGCATCAGTGGTTTGAGAAGGATTTCCGACCAAACTGAAGTTGTCAGGTTTTGAGAGACTTGCGGTGGTGTCGTAGAATCCGGAACTGGAACCTTAGAAATTGGTGGCGAGTCTGGTTTAGTGATGAATCACGAGATGGAAGACAGCGTGTTTACGGTCGGAGAAATGAATGTTTTGCCCCTAATTGCATTCGGCAGGTCGACAGATTCGGTGGAAGCCATCTTGTGGACTCAAGTAAACAGAAACACAACAATAAAGGCTGCTGTTGTGTTGGCGAACCCCGTGTCTATAGACTTTTCACCTTTTTACCATTGAAATTACATGAAATAATTGCTCTTACACTCTTTTTGGGAAGAGTGTAAATGTGGGATGTGTAAGGTCCAATTTGGTTTCTTCTATGACAGGTATTTCTCAACATTTGGTAACAATGATATGATATCTATGTATTGGCATACAGTTACTTATTACCCTTAAGATAAATATTTGTCAAATCCTGATTGGTTAATAGCCAAAGCATACGAAACCATATAGGCGGATTTGCCAGGGTGTACGAACCGTACATCCTGTCAAACCTGTCACGTGACACACTACACGGGTTTATACGAATGACCTTGACCTTAGATGGAATGGGGCTGTCAAAATCCATTTGGAGTTCATGTGTCACGAGTTCATTTGATTGTGTTCCCATATTTAGGTTTGATGGTATAGGTACGTGAAAATACTTGAATGAGACAAATTGTGTACATTTGCATCTTTGTATTTCTCGTTCTTTTTCAATAACAATAAAAGCAGTGTTTCGGTGTCTGTTTTCAGCCTTGTATTGTTTTGATAACATTTTTGCATCTGTTTGGTCAAATGCATTTTTCAAATGAATACTTTTTAAGTTTATATTTAGCATACTTTTGTCAAAGGAATGAAACCATTTTATTGAAATGACATCAATCAAACGAGTTGACTTATTCTGGTCATTCAACCCGTGGTTAAAAAGTTGGCTCGTCATGGCGAAGACCAGGGTTCGATTCCCCAAATTGGTACAATGTGTGAAGGCCATTTCTGGTGTCCCCCGCCGTGATATTGCTGGAATATTGCTAAAAGTGACGTAAAACTAAACTCATTCACACTACTTCCATTGCACATGTTGTATTACAGAGTTTGTATGCTGATTGCTGACTTATTTTCTTGTTTTCAAAAACATCCTGGGACTAATATCATAGCAATATTGAACAGATATTTTATTTGATTTTGATTTTGAGCTATCCATAATGTCTGCTTCATAGAATGTATTAGTATGTACTATATGCGGAGAAGCACTGATATAGGCCTTTAGGCCACAGGCCCTCGTGTCTTTGCGAGGATTAAAGAAATGCTTCACAGCACAATACATTATGTCATAATGTACTGTACTGTGAGGCATTTCGAGTCGGGGGTCATCTCAACAACAAACAATCTTTAATCCTCGCAAACACACGAGGGCCTGTGCTTTCCATTTTGTTATGTCATGTAACATTGAAAATGTGGACATTCATGGAAACGAAATATTGTTTAAATCATATTGAACAGATCGGACAGGTGCACACTTCGATATATGTTGGTCCTGTCGGCGCCTTGGAAAAAACTAAAAAGGAAACAAGAATTGATGTAACCTGGATGTTTGATCCTTCCATGTTTCATTGTTTGTTAGTTACCATAACCGTAGAGCTGAATATATATCTGAAACCAGCATTAGGGAGACAATATGTATAAACCAGCATTAGGGAGGCCACGTGTATATTTTGTTGTAAAATAACTTTTACTGACTTTCATAGTGTATTGTAACTCTAAATCATCTTAGCAAACTCGAAAAAAAATATGCTGCGAAAAAAATAAAATTAAAAAATATACGTGTTTTGCGGTCTCCTTAATTTTCTTATATACAAAACCAGCATTAGGGAGACCGGGATCTATATCTGGAACCATCATTAGGGAGACCTTATGTAAAAACCAGCATGAGGGGGACCAGATGGTATGTATATTTAAAAAAGAGCATTAGGGGGACCAGATGGTATATATATTTAAAAACCAGCATTAGAGGGACCAGATGGTAGATATATATATTTAAAAACCAGCATTAGGGGGACCAGGTGGTATATATATTTAAAAACCGGCATTAGGGGGACCCGATGTAATATATATTTAAAAACCAGCATTAGAGGGACCAGATGGTAGATATATTTAAAAACCAGCATTAGAGGGACCAGATGGTATATATATTTAAAAACCAGCATTAGAGGGACCAGATGGTAGATATATATATTTAAAAACCAGCATTAGAGGGACCAGATGGTATATATATTTAAAAACCAGCATTAGGGGGGCCCGATGTAATATATCTTTAAAACCCAGCATTAGGGGGACCAGATGGTATATATATTTAAAAACCAGCATTAGAGGGACCAGATGGTACATATATTTAAAAACCAGCATTAGAGGGACCAGATTGTATACATGTATATATTTAAAAACCAGCATTAGAGGGACCAGATGGTAGATATATATATTTAAAAACCAGCATTAGAGGGACCAGATGGTATATATATTTAAAAACCAGCATTAGGGGGGCCCGATGTAATATATCTTTAAAACCCAGCATTAGGGGGACCAGATGGTATATATATTTAAAAACCAGCATTAGAGGGACCAGATGGTACATATATTTAAAAACCAGCATTAGAGGGACCAGATTGTATACATGTATATATTTAAAAACCAGCATTGGAGGGACCAAATGGTATAATATATTTTAAAGAGAGGGTCTGTAAATGTCATTGTGACGTCATTATAATTGTGCTGGTAAAGGCGTTTTATTGTACTGGCAGTAGGTTAGGAGTTCCTAGCGGTAGGATCGGTTTGAGCCTATGTGACTGTGATTTTATTATAATGTAAGTATGAACGTTTAATATGAGCTGTATTGGCTCAAATTTATATAACATGTGTAACAATTTTGTACATTGTTTTTCGTTCACTATGAGAATAAAGAGCTTGTCTTATTGGTTCAACATTGTTTCTGGTCCTTTTATATAGTACTAGGGTAGGGTCTATATACCTATATGTCTTTTTATATAGTACTAGGGTAGGGTCTATATACCTATATGTCTTTTTATATAGTACTAGGGTAGGGTCTATATACCTATATGTCTTTTTATATAGTACTAGCGTAGGGTCTATATACCTATATGTCTTTTTATATAGTACTAGGGTAGGGTCTTTATACCTATATGTCTTTTTATATAGTACTAGGGTAGGGTCTATATACCTATATGTCTTTTTATATAGTACTAGGGTAGGGTCTATATACCTGTATGTCTTTTTAACGCTGTTTTAAAGCGCGACACGCCCCTGTGGTTACAAAATTATAAATGTCTTGTAAATCTCATCTTTACAAGCTTGTAATGTACACTTTTTTTGGCAGTGAATAATACATCAATCGGTGTATTATCTTCCCCTGCAAATTGTTTGGTCTATATCCTTTGGCGTATAATGTTATAAATATTTAGGCAGTTTCAATATAGCAATTCCGAGATAGGGAAATTGTCCCGAAAAATTTGGTTTCGGTGTACATAGATTCGTGGACGATTATTTGTATATGTGAGTAGCGTTTCCCTTTTAACCTTTGACCTGCCCCTCCTAGGTAGCAGCAGACATCATCAGGATTGTGGCTGATGCACGGTTCAGTGATGGAGGTCACGGGGACGATTGTACTGATGCTCCTGGTAGGTACCTTCACTGTCTGTCAATGAGTAAGGTTTTACGCCGCTTTCAACAATATTCCATATTCTAGTACTTTATTTTGGTTTGAGTCCCGTGAAGAATTAGAACCTACACTCCTTAATACTAATTTCAAACCTTGAAAAAAATTTAAATTTCCTGTACATATATTCTGGAGAACTCGACAAAACCGAGTGATGGTTGTTTAGTCAGCAATATTCAGCTTTATCACAATGACCTCTAAATAATCGAGTCGGGGCCCAGATAAGCCATTAATTACCTGTAACATTGCACGTCGTCTGGCTTAAACTTAAAGTTTATATGTTGTTCTACGCTGCGTTGTAAAAACAAACATTATCCACAAGCAACACTGCCTGTACCCAAGTCATGTCAATAGTGAGCGAATCATAGATGGGACTCGAACCCCAAAGTACTAGAATCTGTAATTTTAGATAATGTAATCCAAATATAACATGTTAGTAAGGATGTTTAACCTTTCCTTGAGTAATCGATGACCGTGATGATCCGGATTAGAATTGATCTTCAACAACCCATGTTTGTAAGATGCGACTAACGGGATCAGGTGGTCAGACTCGCTGACTTGGTTGACACGTCATAGTATCCCGATTGCTGCAATATTGCTGAGTGCTGCGTTAAACAGACCATCCAATCAATTGAATGTTGACCGTTGGTTGACCGTTGGCCGTTGGGGGCAGTAACAGGTCAAATGTTTCAATTCCTCTTAGCAAAGTTGTCGCTGAACAACCAGTCCAACTTTAAGATTTTGAAGACCTTCAAAGACGGTACTTGTTGATACCTTGCCTGGTGCTCAGCGTAGGGGGGATAAAAGGGCTGGAAGGGGCTACCGTTTTAGTGGTGTGGTCATGCTGAAGTTTGGGCATGGTATCTCGGCCAGTTTCCACTGCAAAACTGCTTCAGTCCGGCCTCGTAGAGACGAACATACGCCATTATGGAAGGGCAGTTATGTTGAATCCTATTTCTCTCGACTCTCTTGTGATAGGAGACTTTTCACCTGCTCAAGGGCTGACTGACAACCCTTTGTCCGTGTAAGGGCTGGCTATCGATATAGATCAGAAATCGATGATCGTCAATTAAATGTGGATCGATTATCGATAACCTAGAGGCATAACTTTGAACAAAAATGCCCAAAAGTTTAAAAGAAATGAATATATTTCACATCACTTGTGAGTAGTGACATGTTTTGCATGGACTACCAGCAAGACAGCGTCAAGAACATAATTTAGAAGCAGACCATGCATGAAGTCCTAAATTTGTATGTTGTGTGAACAAATTAAAAAAAAAATTGTTTCTGTCACAGAAGTTAATGTATAATATTAGTTACACGGTGTTTTGAAAGGGTGTACGGGACTGTAATACCCTTGTAAATGCCGTATTTCCTGAGGCGCGGCCTCATTATTCATTATGTATAACACTATTCATAGCGATAATCATCAATAATTTTTCCTAAATACGATATTCCCGATTATCGATCATTTTAGCCAACCCTAGTCAGTGCTAATGACATTTGGTAACACTTTACCCGTTTCTCTGTTTCAGTTCGTGCACGTGAGCTCGGAGGACCATCTGTTTAAACCTTGTAAGCGAGTAAAGGCCTTGGCCCCGACCCACAAAGTGATCTTAGCGTTAAGTCATCGTAATTCCCTTTAACATAGTAATGCTGAGGTCGCTTTATGGAAACGGGCCCGGTTCCCCCTACGTGAGTGAGGCGGTGGGGTAGTTTTGTGGTTAATGCGTTCGCTTGTCACGCCGAAGACCCGGGTTCGATTTCCCACATGGGTACAATGCGTGAAGCCCATTTCTACTGTCCCCCGCTATGATGTTGCTGGAATGTTGCTAAAAGCGGCGTAAAACCCAACTGACAACTAAACTCATTCACTCCTCCACGTGAGGTTAGTACCACAAAAGAGAAGAACTGTTAAAGGCTCCACTAAACCGCCCTTCTCATCACTCACCACTCGACACAATAGCTATAACATGGCTGATGCACCTACACAGTATATACCCACTACCATCCATTGGCAATGTTTATTGCATACAAGCGAGGACTGTAGGTGCAGCGATCCGACTCTAGGTGTAGCGAGCCGACTGTAGGTGGAGCGAGCCGATTGTACCTGCAGTAAGCCATGCTTGTCGTAAAAGGCGACAGTCGGGATCGGGTGGTCGGGCTCGCTGACCTGGTTGACACATGTCATCGTATCCCAATTGATTATATTGATGCTCATGTTGTTTATCGGTCGAGACCCGATTATTTACAGACCGCCGCCATATAGCTGGAATATTGCCGAGTGCGGCGTTAAACAACAAAACAACCTCTAGTTACCGTTTGAAGAGTTCAACCATATTTGTCCATGAAATATGTTGTTATTTATATATGTTTGTTTACCATAGCCCCAGTGACAATACATTGCGGTAAAGACCCCCGCAAAGACAAGGTAAACATCACGTACGCTGGAGACGCTTCCGCAATGTACACCATCAAGAACGGCGTCCCCCAGAAGTGCAGGGGGGAACACGTAGGACTGGCGGGACTTGTCATTCACGATGTCAACCATAGGAAGGAATGCGGCTTCATGGTAACTACATACACACCGAGTTGTAACTACTCTATCTCGCTCTTGTATACATTACTTGGGACGTTTGCCTCGGAAACACCGGATATATTGTCACAGAATTCCCGCTAGGAACTGCCCCTTCACCCGCCGGCCTACCCATCCCCAATCACTCACCCTCACCCACACGCAAACCCACCTACTCGTTCGCCCATCTGCTATATAAACCTCCAATCCACCTACTCCCCCGTCCGCACCCACGCACACCTCCCATCCATTCACCCACCCATTCGCCCACCTACTCGCCTACCCGCTGCCTACCTATCTGCAAGGTCAACAGGTCTGTCTTGGATCGACACCAGTCGGTCGCCTCCAACAGAATAGAATGCTGCTTCACCGGCAGCCGAAACCTACCAGGAAGGTTGTCAGTCGATGTATATTTTAAAAGAGAATTTAAACTGGTTTCTACAACGTACCATGAGTACCAATTATGGTATAATATACCCTTGTCAGGCTCGTGTTGTCTGTATCGCTACTGTGACTAGTGCCACGCTGAAAAACTGGGTTCGAATCCCACATGGTGTTCTCTCCATGAAATGGCTGGAATATTGCTATAATATTGACGTGAAAACGTTTATCACTTTTTGGAAATAAATCTGCTCCTGTTAAAATCGGTGGACCACAACTGTTGAAGACCCTTTCGTGGGAAGAGCTGTCGGGGGTCGTTGCTCGTGCTATCAGTCAATGGTTTGCCTCGCCACCATCTTTACAGACCATATTGCTGAGAGCCTCCTTATACAAACACCCTCATACATCATCATATCTACCCGTTAAGAACCGGGTTAGAATTGATCTTCAGGAACCCATGCTTGTGGTAATGTATGACTAACGGGATCGGGTGGTCAGGCTCGTTGACTTGGTTGACACGTCATCGTATCCCAATTGTGTAGATCGATGCTCTTGATGTTGATCACTGGATTGTCTGGTCCAGACTCGATTATTTACAGACCACCGCCATATCGCTGTAATATTGCTAAGCGCGGCAAAAAATTGACTCACCCACTTATATATCTCTGTATTTCTATCATAAATATTGCTCATTTTCAAATCCAGCACCTGCACGAGACAAATACGTGGACAGTAAAGGTCAGGGTTCAGCACACGGACAACATCCTGACGGCACTGGATAGCGAGGAAAACCTTACTTGTTCATACGATGCTTTTAAACACGTGTCGGCCATTAAAGTCAGAAAGTAGTAGTGATCCCTAAAGCATTCCAGACTGCGTGTTCTTGTAGCACTTGTAATAAACTTATTTCAGGAACAGTTCATTTTCATCTTTTTGATAACACTGGACGTAGGTTGGAGTTTCATGATTTGTCCGTGTCAGACTCAAACATACTCGTGGGTTTGTTAAACCGGGGTACTAACCTCTAATATCACGTCAGACTTTACACGTGAAGATCCGGGTTAGAATTGGCCCTCAGCAACCCATGCTTGCAAGAGGTGACTAACTTGACGAGGTGGTCAGGCTCGCTGTCTTAGTTAATGTCATCGTATCCCAATTGCGTAGATCGATGCTGATTCTGTTGATCATTGATTTGTCACACCGCCGCTATATAGCTGGAATATTGCTGAGTGAGGCTGTTAAACAAACAACAACAACAACAACAACAGGCTTTCTTCTATTAAAGCTGACATGTAGTGGTTAGCCTGTATTACTGTTCAATGCAGCTTTTGGGGGGGGGGGGGGTAGCCTAGTGGTTAAAGCGTTGGCTCCTCACGCCAAAGACCAGGGTTCGTTTCCCCACATCGGCACAATGTGTGAAGCCCATTTCTGGTGTCCCCCGCCGTGATATTGCTGGAATATTGCTCAAAACGGCGTAAACCTAAACTCAGTCAGTCAGTTCAACCAGGCCCACACGCCTAAACTGCCTATCGCCAGAGTGATGCAGTAAACGGAACGCGTGAGGGAAGCGAGGAATGATTTGCAAAACTGGTCCAGATATTGGAGAAACTAAGTGTATTTCGATTAACTTAAAGTTATATTGGCATATTGAAGTTGCATAAAACAGGTGCAAGTATTTCACTTCATCCCAAGCCCAATCAGCGTTTGATCTCCGTTCTCGATATGGGGATATCGCATAATGAGTCAAGTCTACCTTTCATCAGACAAATCAAAACCTTTACCTCATCAGGAAAGTGTCGGTTTCATTCGCGATCCACTCGTGAGTTTCGGGACAAACCGCCCCTTTCCGTAGCTTGAAGACTGTTATCGATGAATGTTATGTGCGAAAATACGACAAACTCACGTGCTTTGATAAAAATAATCCCGAGTACTTAAATCGTTTACGACATTGTGTGATTGTTTAAAAAATCATGAAAAATATATCGTAATAGAACAAATCTAACAGAATTGTGTTGCCTTATGTGAAGTTTTTAAATAAGGACAGGACCATGAACGGTGAGATAGGTATGAGTTTCAAACAATATATTTATATTATCTAATCAGCTTTAATTTTTAACACTCTGCTCATATTTCACTGGGAATATTTTAGTCTGAAGTTTCTTGCGAATCCTTCCTACTTTTTTTCAAGCGTATTCATTTTGAATGTGACTAGGTTTATGGCAGCAAATGTTATATGTGCAAGTTCAGACAGCAGGTAGACATCCCGTACACTAAATCATGTCCAGTTTGAGATTGTTTAAACATATTTTGGGACTTATAACAGCTGAAATAAAATGTTATTTTCATTGGCTATTCATGAAAATAACAACCCACATCCTGTTTGCGATTAAGCCATATTTAGAAATATACATTTGGAAATACAAGGTGAATAGCTGGTAGAATGTTTTCAAACAAATCATCATATTAATTGTTTTAAATGGGTTAAATATTTGAAAAGCAGAGGTGAGGTGAAATTGGGTTTAACGTCGTGCTTGAGAATATTTCGCTCATATGACGACGTGCATGCGTGTGTATGTGTATGTGTGGCTGCTTGTCCTAGCCCAGACTTAAGCTGGTTTTATAGTGCTAGCCGACTGAGATACCATGCCGCAGTGAAGCATGAATACCCCACTCAGACACATTATACTGACTCCGAGCCGACCAGTCCTTGTTGTACCCATTAATGCCGAGCGCCAGACAGGGACCAACAAGTACCATATTTTAACGTCTTTTGGTATGACGCGGTCGGGGATCGAACCCGCGACCTTCCGCTCTCCGGGCAGACGCTCAAACCTTTGAAAAGCAGTAACTTCAGTAATGTTTATGAAAGTTGGAATGGAGAATCAGAATCAGAATTGTCTTTCCTGTTTGAAATAGTTCTGATGTTCATATGCCAAAATGAAATCCTTTCAGAGGGGCACTAGTCGGTATTCCGCTTGTCCCGGAATAACACATTTGGTCACGAATGCTTCTTAGAGGTTACGGAAAAGGGCGAGGATAACATCATATTCTTCGTTTCAAGTGAGGGGCTCTAAGACTGATGGGATACATATTTAAACAGACTTTGCTCGACTGTATTTCCAACGGGCCGTACAATCGCCATCATGCATCGGAATTCCAAAATATACTTCAATCGAAACCTTACTCACTCAGTCTTGGTGCCGTATGGAACCAGGTTTCTGATTGCCTGATGTAACTTGCTACTTATTTCATTGGTTGGTCAAAGTTCGTGAAAGGTTCAGATGCCACAGTGACGGATTTCCTCATTTAGCCAGCATCAGAACGGATCTGGAACTGAATGCAGCAATGGCAGTCGTCAATGTTCAACCATGGCGTAAAAATGGGATTCTTTGTGTTTTAATTTTGGAGTTACTCTCTTTCTAGATGACATATAACTGCTTCCTACACCAAAGCAAAACAAAAACAGAAACAAAAACAAAAGCAAAAAGCAAACAAAAAGCAAAAAAATACCAAAATACACCCCCACAGTGGTTAAAAAACAGTGGTTAATAAAGTCTAAAAAGCATTTCAAAGTTGAGTTGACATCACCATTCAAACAGCTATAAAATTTGTGTGAAAATGTATCAAGAGCATGCTTCATAATATCAGAGAACCTACCGGTATATTCCGCCCCCCAGGTGTAACGCTCAATGTGTTGTGTGCGACACTCAGTGCATGTTTCACGTGCCACTGGCTGGTCACGTGATGTTGTCATGTCAGCTGTTATTGGGAAATGATCGGAGTCTGTTTTGGTTAGGATTTTAAAGTTCTTAAATTTTTCATAGATATTGGTTGACACTATGCAGTAATCCACTACACTATTCCCTTGGCAACCAATGAACGTAAAGTCACTTTTAATGTCCATTCCCGATCTCCCATTAAGAACATGTATTTTCAAGTTTCTGGCACATACTTAACAACTGGGTCCCCTGGGTGTTGACAATTTCATCTTTAGAACATCTAGATATATTAAATGTATCGCTGTTGTAATCTATCTCATCAATCGGTAGATAATTTACATCGTCGTTTTCAACAAAGCCTTGCTCCTGACCAATGCGGGCATTTAGATCCCCTAAAATAGTAAATGTAGCCATGGGAAAGTCTATATTCAGTGTCATTAATCTTAACTCCAAAAGTTCAATACCAGTAGAGTCCTGTGTGTTTGCTCCCGTGGTGGTGGCATCCTGCACATACACAAAGCCTAGAATATTCTGCTGGGAGGGTAGGTTTGTCTGGAGGAAAACACAGTCTGGCCATTCACTATGGAGACGAGTGAAGAGAGACGATAGGGGTTTCCTGATGTAGACTGCTATACCACCACTATGTCTACCCCGTACGTGTATCCTCTTCCGGACGCACTGGTGACATATGTGATCTGGAAATGCATGTTCAAAGTCTGCAGTATTTTTCGCCCACGTTTCGACTAATGCAAATACATCATAGTTATTAAGAAAATTTAGATTTTGGACTTTTGAATACAATCCATTAATATTCCAAGACAGCATTGATATTTGTGTAGGTAGTTGTGTTTGATTCATTATAGAATCGTTAGCTTTAGATTGGGCATGGCCTCGACCACTCTCCTATCTCTCTGAGTCTGCCTGTGGGTGCGGTCTCGTGTCGGCTACACGGCGCTGGCTCCCATCTCTGCTGTGTCGTCTACTGCGCCCAATCTCGGGAAGGTCGGACGAGCTGTCGCGTCGTCTGCTTGAGTCTGTCTGAGGGTGCGGTCTTGTCTCGTCTGCACTGAGCTGGCTCGCATCTCTATTATGTCGTCTACCACGCCCAGTCTCGGGAAGGTCGGATGGGCTGTCATGTCGTCTGTTCGGGTCTGACTGTGGGTGTGGTCTCGTGTCGGCTGCACGGAGCTGACTCGCATCTCTGCTGGGTAGTCTACTGCGCCCAGTCTCGTGAAGGTCTGGTGAGCTGTCACGTCGTCTGCTCGTGCCTTTGCTGTGGGGTAGGGCTCCATGCTCAGCATCGGTAGACTGGTCCTGTCGGCTGGACTGGACACGCCTCACGATTTCAACAAGTGATTTTTTGACAGAATCATATCTGTAGGCAGAGCCATTTAGTATGAGCTTATCGTAAGAAACATAGCACTCATCCCCTTTCTGTCTATAATCTTTAACATATTCACCAAGAATTTTTCTCGTCTGTCTGACAAACTGGGTAAAGTCTGGTTTTACCCGGTATTTTCAGCTACTCTTCAAATTAGCCCTTGCTGACTGGAGAATACTCTCCCTGTGTTTATAAGAAGAAAATTGGACGATGATAGGACGAGGCATGCGCTTAGTGTTGAGTCTGTGTGCACGTTCTACACGGTTATCTCCCATTTGACAGACACCCAATTGACAGACACTGAACTAGAAGGTTAATTAGGGTAACACCTACGGGTATAATGGAACAGTCCACTGTCTAGTGAGTAGAGCAGGGTGAGCCTGAAACAGGTTCGTTACTGACAAGTTTGATTGTGGGTAAATAGAACGTTGTTGTAATTAAATGATTTCTCATCTCAAAATTGATTTTACTATCAATTACTATCGAATATAAAAACAGGTTTGTCACTGAGAGGTTTGAATGTGTTTATTGATACAAAAGTCCCCTCCTAATAAAAGCATATGTACAACAGAAGTTAACTGAGAAAACGTTTTGTTGGAGAGATATAGATATGTACATATTTGATAACATTCTGATTTGCAGTAAATGAGACACCTGCATTGCCATGTAAGATACGATTAATACAAATCAGTGTTCTAATTTCAACAATACTTTCTAAAGATTGTAACACTTTATGTTTATGAGTAGTATACAATGGACATTCAAGGAGGTAATGAAAAACATTCTCACATCCATGGCCACATTGACGTGATGCG